TTCGGAGCGGAACATCATCTTGGTCCGCACACTGTCTTACTTTCTGCAAAATATGTGGCAGACTGACTTAACATTAGTGGTGAGTGTTGCGTTATTCATGGACGTTGCTTGCCCTGCCACGATTATGGATCAAAGCCTCGCAAAGATTGGGGAGTGCCAGTGGCACCAAGAGTAACCGCTGAGACTCGTATTGTGGAAGATCCACGGTGGTAAAGAGGGACCCTATAGTGTCTTTGTGCATGAGCCTAGGTCAGTGGACAGGCCAAATCCTCTCCTTTTCAACCATTGGCCTCAGTACCAGTCGTTTGCATAACAAGGTTTATGACTTCGCAATTTGCAAACCAGTACCAAAGATCAGAAGGCTCCCTACCCCCCGTGTTCGGTTCAAAACGTGCTTTTCCCTGCCAAACCGGCGCTTCATTTCTAACCCGACCGCAGTTCTTGATAACCTTAGTCTTCGTGAGCTCATTCAACACTCCGCAACGTGAAAGTCGAGAAGAACATAAGAGTAATGTAAGTGTCGATTGGCTTCGCTAATGCAGCTTAAAGCTCGTCGGGCAATTTCATTTTTGCCACGAAGAGAAAGGCCACTCAAGAACAGAGATGTTTCGCAAAGTCGCCGTCGCACTGCTCTCCATGATTGTATACACCTTGATTTAGCCGCCTTTATCACATGGGCATGTGGGCACATGGTGTGAAGAGGGATCTAGTTGGTAATTATATAAGAGTGGTGGCTATGAAATCTATCCACTAGTAGGCATAGTTTGAGCGCGAATCCTATGAGCCGACAAACGTCCGACTCGGAGAATCGTTGACACTGGAAGCTACCATTTTTCAAGCCGACGACAAGAGGTATTGCCCAGAGGCCGCCATAGAGTTCTAGGGTTTCTTCCCAGCAGAGATCGAAATAGTAGACCGGAACACTTGCCCGAGAGCGCAGGCTTGGCGGAAGCAGCTCGGTCTGGCAGAATGGGCAGTCTTGGTAGCGCTCACTCGGCGTTGTGCACAGTGCCCACTCAATGATGCATTCCTGACCGAACATGTGTCCACATGCAAGCTTGACGGGTCTGTCGTTTCCTTCGTAGCCACTCCAATATATGGTGCATTTGTTGTTCTCCTTGAGTGTTTTCACTGACGGTTCTGAAAAGCGTTGCTTCAGAATTGCGATGGTGGTGTTCATGGTTGCGAGAATGCTGAAGACGAGGATGCTTAAGGGAACAGGGATTGAGCAGTCTGATTGTTATATCAATTTTAGGAGCAGAGCATGTGTTGATACGGGAGCTTCACCTCTGTCCTGGCTGTGGTATAGCAACAGGAAACTCAGCTCAGTATGGGAGCGCAGAACCATGCGAGTATAAAGTCATGGAGTTGGTACAAAACTAAGGCAAGACTTCTTCATAGGGCAAGTCTGAGGCGGAGGTATCTTGTGTCCCTGCCTTGAGGGGTTTGAAGTGTTGTAAAGTGATAATGAATTTCAAAACTTTCACTGGCAACAAGAGCAATCCCATGACCGATCAAAAGCCGTGTTAAAGTTTGCTCGAATAGATACATCACCAATGTATTGTTGCAATGTCCGATGAAGACAAGCGTTGTACTGTGCAATCTCCTCCACCCTTTCATGAATCTATTTCAAAACCCCCACTCCCCAACTGCATCCGCCACCACCAGCCAGGCCCATCCCAAAAGTTGAACGCCGTTGCGTAGTACCTTTCGCCAACGATCAGGAATAACCTCAACCCCTCAACGACATCTTTCAATTTGCCCCAATTGAAATACATCCCAGTATACTCGACACTACTAACCACGAAATAGAAGCCGTCGCCCAGCGTCCATCCGAATCTTTGTCTGCCAGCAATTATGTCGAGACCGGGGAAAGCTTCTTCGCCGTCCCTGAGAATGCCTTCATCAATGGCGTGCTGAATTACGGCGATGAGGCCGCCCATGCTCATTGGGTCGAGGCGGTGGCGGGGGAGACCAAAGCCTAGGCGGAGGTACATTGGACTGTTAGGCACGGAGAAGCCATAGGGAAGTAGTGTGGCCAGAGCAGAGACGTCAGAGATGTTCGAAACCAATGTTGCGTTGTAGACAGATGAAGGGTTGAGCAGCGGTAGATTCAAATTCCTGGTGAAAGGTTTTGTAACCCCCAAGGGTTCGGCCACGATGCCGCATGGTAGAAGCGTGAGAAGCACGAGTGACAACAGATTGAAGAGCATGATCTTTAGATGGATGGGTAGTAGTCCAGGTATCAAGAAATCTCAGAGGTCTTGATCTAACGCAGTGTGGAACAGAATCACGACATACACGCGGAAATTTGAGAGGGCGCTAATGGCCGGGTAGAAGCGAATGTGGGAGCCCCGAACCAATTGAGGAATGAGGCTCAAGCACGCCGATAGTTTGTTTGCTACCATAAGTCATATGTGCGTCTCTCAGCGGTTTCTCACCATGAACTACTTGCCAAAAGGATGCCTGGGTACGGCCGACGCTACAGTATCGCCCACGACAATTTTCGTTTTTCAATGACTTCGAAAACTTCCACCTCCATCCTTGGAGATGTCTCCGGCTAAGAAGCAGCGACACCCCTGTGAATCTTTGATCGCCCTGAAGTCCCAGAGAGTCTTCGGGAGATTGATGTTCTAGTCGCTGCTCTTGAGACTTCTTAAACTGCTGCCAATGGAGATGGGCATGGGAGACTTGAGCAATTGAATCGATAGGCCAAGTCTTGAGAAGTATGACAGAAAGAGGAGCTCGAAACGCTCTAGGGGTGGGTGGGTAATACTTGCCTTATCGTACCGTTCGTGAAGGAATGTCATGACACATGTGCCTGCTCGAAATTCTGGCGGTGACAAAGACGGCATACCTCAGACGCTTAGTTGAAATATCGGTGTCCTTGCAACAGGCTGTGCAAGCCTGCACTTTCTCGATAGAAAGCTACGGATGTTGCACGACTAAGGCAAGATAATTTGTCTCATATCTTCAATAATGTTTTTCAGATATAACAAGCCACTGATCTATATCGCTTTGAAATCGAACGCAGCGGTGGGACATGGTTACATGGAATCCCTCCCCGCCTGCCTCTAGTCCCACGTCGGCGTTCCTTTCTAGGCATCTGCGTCGATAGTCTTGGGCTTGGGGAATTTGAAAAAACATTTCCCGAAGTCGATCCTCCTGTTCACTCGTGTATATGGAATCTTGACGGTGCCGTGAACCTCGAAACAAAGATCTACGAAATTTGGATCGGGATCGTCCCTCGGAAAAAGTCCTGCCTGTCCGTTGATGTACTTCTTATCAATGGTGAAACTGCAAGAATGTTTATCCACCTCTAGGAGATTACACCTATAGATGCCCTCATCGTAGTTGAACACGAGCACGCTGATCCAAACTTGGAAGACCAAGGTCAATTCCGAGTCGAGTTCACCTTTGATCTGCAAGGTGGAGGTTAGTGAAATGTTACAGTCACGAAGCGGTCAAGCGCCTCGAGTCTCTCTCCCCGATTTTTGCAGCTTTCAACATACCTCAAACACAACGACGCCGCCCGGTAGCTCAAGGAAGCAATCGAATGGGTAGGTTTCTTGATTTGTGGTGAGACCTGCAGATTCCAGATAGGACTCCGGGATGGCAGGAGTGCTGGGGAATGTATTATTGAGACTGGAAGTAAAATGAAAAGGATCATCATCATCGTGTTTGCAATATGTAGCCCGGCCGAGCGAAATCGTCGATAGGTTCTGAGGGGTCAGAAGATTTAGTTGACCAGTCCCGCTGGTCGTAGAACCGCTCGAGGGAGGAGTGGCAGCCATGGCGACAGTTGGTAATAAAAGCCATAGCGGCTTTAATTGGTGTAAGAAGAGCTGCATGATCGGAGAATTGCAAAAATGTCAAAACACGAAAAAGAATACCTGCTAGTGGCCATGAATGAATGCAAAGGGACAGCTGACCGTTTATAGAAGTGCGCATGAGGCCTCGAAGAACGCATATAAGAGTATCCGCGCGGATTGGCGACCCTTTGACTCTTGAGATGAGTTGAGACACCCACGGGCGGCAATTATCCTGGGACAGTTTCGTACCCTTAGCGTGTGAGCGATATAAAACGTGACTTTGTGATTGGAGAGGACCTACCGACACACATTGTAGCTGTTTCTGTCGGAGCTGAAATAATAAGGCAATGTTTTGAGAAGTAGCCGCGGCAATAGCAAAGGCGACTAGAGTGGCCACATCATCATTGCGCAGCGGCAAGCGGCAAACGGCAAACGGCCGACAGCTTCAAACAGTCCAAGTGTACGAGTACTAAGTTGGACTCCATCATCAGGTCAAGAAAGAAGCATGCTGCGAGTCTGAAACCCCACCACTTGACTGTTTGGAACAACCTGACATTACCAACGTTTGCGCCGCCGCAAAAGGCCAAGATGTTTCTTCGGTAAATACATTGTATTTGTCATTCGCTGATCGCAGAAAGCAACGGACAAAGGTCACGAGCTGCTAGCGATGGCGCATGCGATTCGCGAAGCCAAGCTGTCATACCGGAACAAGGTAAATTTTCTAATTGGGAATGCTCTGCGTACATGTCCATCTCTTGCTTTTCAGGACTCAATGTCTGGCACCAGGGTAGCAACGAAGGGATTTCTTGAAGACATGTGCGTGCATGCCGACGGCAATTCGTTTTGAAAGGCAGGATCGCTGCGATGTCGCCGAATTGAGGCTGAGATGCGAGCATTTGAGCATGCGCGCGCCACCAAAGGAATACTTCAAAAGCTTCAGAATACAGCTTGTCACATAAGGGTCGAAAATCCCGAAAGTAGGACACAGAGGTACCCAGAGAGTTCATGGGAAACGCCACTCCTCTGACCGATCTCGGTTTTCCTTGACCTTGGTCAATAACATTTTCAAATGGGTCTAACCAATAACACGCTGGCAGAGACTGTCATTGTTTCGCAGAAACGGTGCTTTATGCGGAATAATTCAATAAGTCTTTTCAAAATCCTGCTAATGACCCTCCGCTAATGCTACTACAACATGCCTCCCACATCCCACTCGTTGTCTTTCCCGAAGCTGTCCTTGTATTCTTCGCCGTATCTAATTTCTGCAAGGGGCCCTAATTCCCCTATGCTGCCCTCTTTTCCGGCCTGCTCCTCAGCAATGGCGCCTGCAATCTCCTCCCGTCCCTCGAATATGGCCACAACGTTAGCCAGAGTCTCATCGTTGTCCGCCTTGCTCTGGTCGTTCTTCAAAACTTTGCTTTTTTGTACGGCTATCCTCTTGGTGCGCTCGACTTTCTTCTCGCGCTCGGCCTCGTTGCCCTCCTGTATAGTCTTTTTCTACAGTCCTTCGAGCAATTTCACCCTCGCCCCTACTTCCTGTCTTACGTCAGGCTCACTCCGATACGCAAGCAAGAATGGCTCGGAGAAGCTTTTCAGATGCAAGTTCGCCGTACCCTGAGCGGTTGCCCTCACCCTCTGCCAACCTGGGCCATGGCCCGTCATATGCCATCCGTCCATCTGATGCAGCCCGCAACTGCAGATGCTGCACTCGCAGGCTAAGAACAGCAGAGCGCGGCACCTTTCGTGCATCAACACACACAGGATATTGTGCACTGATCGGGGTTGATTAGACGACGGGCGCACTATACGAATCCACATTGATGGTCCGCTCTCGAGAGCATTCTTCTTCATTTGCCAGTCCATATGACCAGGGATAAGATTCGCAAAGGCATCCTCGATTTGGTTTGTTGTGAACTCGTTTGCCCTGAAGTTGAATCCGTCAGTGTGCGAGTTGAAAACGACCTTGAAGGATGCAGGGTGGCTCACGAGTGTCTTGTCTCGACAGGAGCATGACTCACACTCGCCGCAGGGCTGATCCATAGGAACATGGGCAGCCATTGTGGGGATCATTCTCATGAACAAAGCTTAGGCGAGGGTAAGTCAGGCTTTAAGGTGCAGATCGACTAGCGAAAGGCAACGGCGTGGAGGTGTTCGGAGACTGGATTGGAGGGAAGCAGAAAAATTGGACAAAAGTGGCGTGAGTAGGAAGTAGATGCTCGGGCATCTTCATTTCTATAAGAGGCAGGTGTCTTGAGGCGGTGCTATGTGTTGAGAAAGAAGTGTTATGGGGACGGAGATGTTAGAGGAGAGGGGATATAACGAAAGCAACAACACATCTGGTACGGTCTTCTCTCTTTGATGATCGCTGTTGCTGTGCGCCACACAGGCGCCGTCTTTACACTTTTTTTTAGTATTCTTCCCTTGATACACTCCAGAGCCTCCATCAGGTCAGGTGACTGCTTCTCTGGTCCAGCTCTCTTGATCATGGCGCATATGCACGCCATATGCTCGCCCGATGCACCTAATACTCTCCCGCGCTCCAATCCGTTAGAAACATCGCCGGCACAAGCAAGGGTTTCGAATTGTTCCTCCTCAGTCTGCTCCTTCTCGATCTTGGTCAAGATCTCAGCCTTTTCTTCCCCCCTCTTTGCTCGCTCAAGCCTTTTCAGCTCCGCTGATTCACTTCCCTGCTGCGAACTGTTTCCATGTAGTCCATAGAGCATCTTCGCGGTCTTCTTTCTCTCGCCTTCAACCTGCGCCTCACGCAGATAGCACAGTATGATAGGCACGAAAAACCCGTCCTCATTGAGATATAGATTTCATGCGTCAAAGTAAAAGGAATGTTCGAGACAGTCTTGGGTTTGCCGACCGTAGGGCGAACGATACCAATCCAAAACTTCGTTTCTTGATTGGTGTCTTCCGCCGGCTCAGCCCATCCGACCGCGCCCTGTTTCCGTCCTTTCTGACACTCTTCTACCCACTCTACACTACACCTATCTTGGAGAGCTCTCAGAAACGGAAAGTCGTCAAGGACAGAAAACGAGTCCTTTAGATCGAATTCAGAGTCGCGCCACGGTCGGCCATCAAGCAGCTCTAGAACTAGCGAATGCCAGCGAGCGCACGCCTGTCTCTCATCCCGAAATCCACATTGCCGGGTATCAGCTTCTCAAAGGTGACAGCTAGTTTGAGTGGCCGAATAGTCGTTCGCTTCGAATGTGATCCCGAGGTTGAGATGGCTTTGAAGGGCATTGAGTGGTAACCAGGGTGTTGCCGAATGATACACTATTCGCACCAATTGCACAGGAGGCCAGGGGAAAAGTACGAAGCCATTCTCGAAAGACGTCCTCGGGTGAGCCTGGGATAAGAAACGGTAATGACACACGAGCTTTGAGGGTGTCCCGGACCGAGAGATTGAGGAGAAAGGAATGGAGATATTCGGAGACCGAGCTAGACAAAACGAAGCCTTCCAGGAAATGCAGGTCTGACCAGACGCGGATGCTCGGGCATTGAGTGTTAGAAAGCAGGTGTGCCGTGGTCGTGTGGAGTGTTGAGATGGAAGGATTCTGAGGAACGAACTGACAAGGAGATGCGAGAAGAGTTTCTCGGAGTGGAGAAAGTGTTAGTTCAGCAGTTCCAAGGAACGCTCGAAAGTGTGAGACTGGGGAAAATCAACGATGACTACACCATCACATCGCTGCGTGAGCTTCATGTGCTAAAAGACATCTCAATCGACATCCGGCAGCTATTCGCAGCGGACTCCGAGTGCCGATCAACAGCACTCGTCAACCTAAGCGACACGCTGCCTGCCTCAATCGAGACGGTCAAAGTCATAGGCGGCATATACAGCATGATGAGCGACTTCGAAGCCTCAACCCTTGAAACAGGGCTCATTGCGTTTGTAAAGGCCAAGATCCCTGAGAACCCCAGTCTCAGAGCCATCTGCGTTCGCGAGTTGTACATTGAGAGGGGCAAAGGGTACAAGAACCCTCGGTTCCGGTCAGATATGTTGCGAAAAGAGTGTGAGAGGAACGGAGTGGCTCTGAGCGATTGTACGGAGCAGCCGTGCTCGACGTGCGTTGCTCGGCCGCCTGTGGTGAGTGAGGAGTTGGACGAAGGGGAAGTTACGTGCGGGGGTGACGATTACGATGAAGAGAACAAGGAGGACAAAGAGGATAGCGAAACGAATGGCGACGAAGATAGAGATGAAGAGAGAGGTGATATTTCATAGGTTACAGTGTTTCCCGCCTCAGCTGAAGGCTGCTTCGCGCGTCGTCTCGTTAGACTTGTTCAATATCTGGGAAGCTGTGACGGGAAGGCTACCACTGAGGTCTTCTTGCGATTCTCGATGTCTGGTTCATCCATTAAAGGTTACGTCGAGTTGAACGCGCATCGCTCGACTAGCTTATTCCGATTTGGAACTGTCTTCGTAATCACCCCACACGTTTTGTAAACGCTCCTCTCTCATCTGTCCTCAACTTAAAATCGGATCAATGCAGAAGATTCTCTTTCTCTCTTGCCGGATCTGCCTCCCCACAAGATGCTTAATCAGGCTGGGTGACATAGTCATACAGCAAATGCATGCGAGCTTTGCAAGAGTGGCATTGGGGGTGCGAGAAGGGAGGAGGCAAGCGGTCCATGAAGCAATGTGTGCGGCAGAGGGAAGTAGGAAGGGAAGGCAATATCTGCTTTGCAATAAGAATAATACCGAGACTTCTTCAAGATCCTCATGTCTTGTACATACAACATACTGCGATCAGATCTCGCACTGCCGTCCAACTTCATGTTAATGAGCAAGGCAGTCAAAAACTACCACAGAAGACTTGGCACAAGAACTACAACTTTGATTTTTCCGTCAGGGAAAAGCTTTCTCGGATCAGAGTCGGATGTGGGATATGCAGCATGCCGTCTCCCCCCGATAAACTCCGCAATGTAGAAACATCTACCAACGAGACTTTGACAAATTCATCTACACTCAGCAAACTCGACCCCTAAAGTCACCACTTGATAGCATTACCAAGTAAACATGTCGACCCAATACGATGACATCGGAGCCACTTAAGAGGAGATGAGGCAGCTGCCCATTGCGATACTTCAAGACGCAAACGTCGAAGCAGCCGTAGCACCATTCATCAAAGGTGCCAAGGTCTTAGACCTAGCTTGTGGGACGGGTTACTACTCCAAGAAATTTCTCAAATGGGGTGCGAAGCAGGTTGTTGGTGTTGACATCTCGAAGGGAATGGTAGGTGCTGCGAAGGCCACGTCAGCCACTCTGGATGGATTGAGTTTCCACGTTGCAGATTGCTCCGTTCCAATACGGTACGAAGACGGGCCATTCGACGTGGTGTTTGGAGCCTGGCTGTTGAACTATGCATCTAATGGCACGGAAATGGCACACATGTTTCACAACGCTTCGGTGAATTTGAAGGGGAGCGGACACTTCATTGGCGTCACGCCGCCTCCCACGAATGACCCACGAGGACATGTTGAGACGGCATTGGCGGCTCGACCAGCACAGTATGGTGACGTTGTCGTGACTATTATAAAGGACGTTGAAGAAGGGGTCGCCACGCATTTGGATGCAACGATGAAAACGGGCAAGGTTGAGTTCGATGCGTACCATTTAATCAAGAACGTGTACGAGAGCTTCGCGTTAGAGGGCAGGCTGGTGGGCGCTTTGACTTGGCGGCCGGTGGATAGCCCGGATATTCATAGCGATGTTCTGGAAAGCCTCCGCAGTTCCTCTTGGGGTAATTATCTGACGGTACCACATTTCAGCGTGCTAGTCGTTGCAAAGGCGTAAGGCATACTTCGTCAGACGGGAGAGGGTTCCACGGACATGTAAGGTTGTTGAACGCTGTTGTATTTGCACGGAAGCTGGCGGATAAGGGTGATAATCATGTTTCGATAATGTCTTGGTGGGAAGAGGCTGGATGATTTGCAGTGCTGGCGGACTCGACCTAGGGTAACTCGACTTACCTCAATCACATATCTGTTAAACGGTTGGGAGGAAGCGAAGACATCTGTTCCCCTATGAGCGAGCAGAAGACATTTTTCAAGTCTACAAGATCAATAGGCTCTGTTGGTGGCAGTGTTTCCTTGAGGAGAGGATGCGAAAGAGTGCAGGAACATGTAGTGCCAGACCCTTTGATGACATTGAGTGCAAATTAAGTATAGTATAGCAGGTCTTGTGGAAGAGAGAAAAAGTGTACCAGTACCAATACCGGTACTTTCTCACGCTAATCCCGTACTGGTTGGCTCAAGCATAGATAGACGGACCGAGCCGCTCTCCGATGGTGGGGCACTGGAGAATCTTCGGAAGTCAATTAATTTCAGCTCAAAATTTTCGGGTCGCATGTCACATACGAAATTTCTTTTTTGGTCAACCAATCCGCCCATTTCTTCTCGCCCATTCCTCTTGCTGTCTCAAGCATCCAATTGCCCCCATTTTTGCCTGCCTTTGGACCACCTTCCCACCCCAAGACCCTGCCGATGTTATTGAGTGCAAGTATCCTGGGCTGCCGTCCAGTCCTTGTAAGAGTGGGTTTCGAAGACTGCGGAAATCCAGGAGGAGAGTCACACCTTGCTGGATTATCGTAAGAGGAGGAATATATCTTACGAGGTTACAGGACTCAATTCTCCTCCGCTTGGTCTCCGATGGCGCTCAAGTGCCTGGAGAGGCCCTCGAGGAGGCTCCTCCAGCGATGCTACTCTACAATCAGCTCTCAGTCGCTGGTAAAGTCTGGACCCTCTAAAGTATGCTACCCTCCGGTCAGCACATCACGGACACCTTCTTCGACAAGATACTTTACGTCGGTCTCCCTCGCACCACGATTCGCTCGACGCAGGGCTCCCTCTGTGCCTCCCTCCACGGGCCCCTCGAAGCACCATTCTACACGAAGCATCTCAAGCACTGCGATCCGATTCGCGACACCCCAAGAGGCCCAAGGGTCCAAAATCACAGCTTCATACATTGCTAATGCGGGGGAGCTCCAGTTGGTAGATGTTAAGAAGGTCTTGGTGATTGGGAGTGGGGGCCTGAGCATTGGACAAGCAGGAGAGTTCGATTACTCTGGTATTCGACAGTCGGCTGTGCTCCTCATGTGGGTGTATGCTGACCTCGCGGGTGCATAGGTTCGCAAGCGCTCAAAGCACTAAAAGAAGAGAACGTCGCCTCGGTCCTTATCAATCCCAATATCGCCACAATACAGACAGACCATAAGCTGGCAGATGAAGTCTATTACCTTCCCGTCACACCGGAGTACGTCACTTTTGTGATTGAAAAGGAAAGGCCTGATGGAATTATGTTGGCATTCGGAGGTCAGACGGCCCTGAATCTCGGTGTGCAGGTGCGTCATCTCCAGCATCTCCCCAGTCGATTGAAGCAAAGATCCGAGATGGGATAGGTTCCGGGAGTGCTCATCTCCTCAGACATGTGTTACAACTCATAGCTCGTTCTCAATAAGCCATACTGACTCCGAGACCCATATACAGATGGATAGGATGGGCATCTTCGAGAAATATGGCGTCAAGGTCCTAGGAACAAGCATTAAAACACTAGAGACAAGCGAAGATCGAGACCTATTGTACGTGATATCCACTCTGGTACGATCACACAAGGAACGGGAATTGGAACGTTTTCGCGAGAGCAATTGCTGATAAGGGTCTGACAGTTCGAAAGCACTGAAAGAGATAGACATACCTATTGCCGAGAGTATCGCCGCGAACACTGTGGATGAGGCGCTTGAAGCTGCAGAGGCCGTTGGCTACCCGATCATTGTACGATCCGCTTACGCCCTGGGAGGCCTGGGCAGTGGTTTCGCCAACAATTCGGAGGAGCTTCATAATCTATCTGCGAGGTCGCTATCACTGTCGCCTCAAATCCTGGTCGAGAAATCCCTGAAGGGCTGGAAGGAGGCAGAGTATGAGGTCGTACGTGACAGGGCGAATAGTAAGTCTTGCTAGCGTCTATAACATGTTTTAAGCACTGACAGCGACAGATTGTATTACTGTCTGCAACATGTATGCCTATACACCAGATGGAACATGCTAAAATCAAAGCACTAAAGTGATGTGACAGGGAAAACTTTGACCCTCTTGGAGTCCATACGGGGGACAGTATAGTGATAGCACCGTCGCAAACTCTTAGTGATGAAGTAATCAGCTCGCAATTCTCCTCTTCGATTGCGACAGACTAAACCTAGACCAGGAGTATCATATGCTTCGCACAGCGGCAATCAAGATCGTTCGCCATCTAGGCGTGTGCGGTGAATGCAACGTGCAATATGCTTTGCAGCCAGATGGTCTCGATTACCGAGTCATCGAAGTCAATGCCCGTCTATCTCGGTCCTCTGCTCTGGCTTCCAAAGCTACTGCTTACCCACTTGCCTATGTCGCCGCTAAGCTGGGCTTGGGCTACACCTTGCCTCAGCTACCGAACGCCGTCACGAAAACCACCACAGCCAACTTCGAGCCGAGTTTGGACTATGTTGTAACAAAAATGTGAGTTTCCTCGGGAACGTCTCTTTGCAATCTTTGGTTGGAAGAGATATCTGAAGCGTTGCGTTCCTCGGATCGTCCCGACTTTTCTTCCACGACGTTCATTTGTAGTGTGCTGACATCGCTTCTTGAATAGACCTCGCTGGGACTTGAAGAAATGTACGTGGGCCTAGGAAATTGTCATTCTGAAGCTAACGGTCCTGAACAGTCCAGCATGTTGACCGTCACATCGGATCTGCGATGAGAAGTGTCGGAGAGGTAATGGCCATAGGCAGAACCTGGCAGGAGAGCATCCAGAAAGCAATCAGACAAGTCGATCCTAGCTACAACGGATTTCAAGGAGACAAGTTCGATGACTTAGACGATGCTCTACGAAACCCAACAGGTACGAGTCTCTTCAACTCCGTATACGCCAAAATGTCGTTCACTAACCCAAGTCCCAAGATCGCCGCTGGCTTGCCGTTGGGCAAGCTTTGATGCATGAGAATTACACTGTTGACCAAGTTCACGACCTGACCAAGATTGACAAATGGTTCCTTTACAAACTGATGGACATTGTGGATACGCAACACGAGTTAGAAGATGTTGGCAGTCTGTTCGGATTGAGGAAGGATCTGGTGCTCAAAGCGAAACAGCAAGGCTTCAGTGACATCCAAATTGCGCTTGCCGTTGGTTGTACCGAAGACGAAGTACGTGCTCGAAGGAAGAGCATGGGCTTGAAACCTTGGGTCAAAAAGATCGACACCTTGGCTGCTGAGTTCCCTGCTGAGGTACGTGCATGAACCACTTCAATGCATCGAGGGACATCATCGCTAATGATTTCTACTACTAGACTAACTACCTCTACACAACTTACAATGCTTCCAGCCACGACGTGACATTTGATGATCATGGCACAATCATCCTCGGAAGCGGTGTTTACCGAATCGGAAGTTCGGTCGAGTTCGATTGGTGCGCGGTCAATGCTACTCTTGCTCTCAAGGCCATGGGGAAACCAACAGTCATGATCAATTACAACCCAGAAACCTACTCTACCGACTTTGACACTGCCGACAAGCTCTATTTCGAAGAGCTCAGCTACGAGCGGGTCATGGATATTTACGAGTTGGAGTCCGCAGCCAATGTAGTGGTATCAGTCGGCGGCCAGCTTCCGCAAAATATTGCGCTGCGATTGCAAGAGACCGGCCACGCAAAGGTCCTCGGCACGGATCCTTTGGATATCGACCGCGCTGAGGATCGTTCCAAGTTCTCCGAAATACTTGACAGCATTGGTGTCGACCAGCCAGCGTGGGCCGAGCTGAAATCAGTCCCTGAGGCTGAGGCTTTTGCAGATAGGGTGGGTTACCCGGTCCTTTGCCGACCCAGCTACGTTCTTTCCGGAGCAGCGATGAACGTGATACGCAGCCATGGAGACCTGAAAGAAAAATTGCTAAACGCAAGCTCCGTATCTGGTGATCATCCAGTGGTCATCACCAAGTTCATTGAAGGGGCACAGGAGATTGATGTGGATGCCGTTGGTTCTGCGGGAAAGCTACTTGTCCATTCAGTGGCTGAACATGTGGAGAACGCCGGCGTTCACAGTGGTGACGCGACACTAGTCCTCCCACCCGTGAACCTTGATGACCGTACCATGGCTCGCATCAAAGAAGTTGCTGAGAAGGTAGCCAAGGCTTGGTCCATCACCGGTCCCTTCAACATGCAAATAATCAAAGCGGACGACCCAGAAGGTGGTGAGCCTGCTCTCAAGGTCATCGAATGCAATCTCCGAGCCTCTAGATCCTTCCCTTTCGTCAGCAAAGTCCTCGGGACGAACTTCATTGACGTTGCCACCAAAGCCCTTGCTGGCCAGGACATCCCTGAGCCAGTAGACCTAATGGCCAAGAAGAGAGATTACGTTGCGACAAAAGTATCGCAATTCTCCTGGGGTCGTCTGCCCGGAGCAGACCCTTTTCTTGGCGTGGAAATGGCCAGTACCGGCGAGATGGCCTGTTTCGGTAAGGACCTGGTCGAAGCATACTGGACGTCTCTCCAATCGACCATGAACTTCCGGTTGCCTTTACCCGGAGAGGGTCTTCTTTTCGGTGGTGATGTCTCCAAGCCGCAATTGGCCGGCATCGTCGATTACCTGAAGCCGCTCGGATACAAATTCTTCGCCGCTAACCAAGAAGTGAAGGACCATCTCGAATCGACAGTCAAGGATGGATGCGAAGTAAAGGTCATCGAGTTCCCCACAGAGGATAAACGCGCTTTGAGAGAAGTGTTCAGAGAATACGACGTCCGGGGCGTTTTCAACCTCGCTGCTGCTAGAGCGGAGAGCCTACTGGATCAGGACTACGTGATGCGCAGGAACGCGGTTGACTTTGGTGTGCCTTTGTTCATGGAACCTCAGGTGAGACTGGCATTGCCTTTTCAGAGTTTCTTGACTGTGACTCACTTGCGCATGCTAACGGATGTAAAACCCCCAGACTGCGCTCCTCTTTGCCCGAGCTATGAGTGAAAAGATACCTCTGCGGAAGAAAGGTGAAGTGCCGAGTGAAGTCAGAAGATGGAGTGACTTCGCAGGAGGACACGTTCTGGGATCTTCGAAATGAAAAGCCACAGCTTGTCGACACGTGCCTTGAAAGATATCTATGCGCTAAATATGGAGGAGACTGCGTGACAAAATTGACGACATAGATTGGAAATGTGTAGTCATCTTGAGCGGAGACGGGGATGAGAGGAGGGGAATATGTGACGTGTATTTAAAAACCATAGGAAAGAGAAAAGTAGAAACTGCTCGACACTGACTTTCCGACTCCGGAACCGGGCCAGCATATGACAGCTTACTAGTCCTCACCCTCGCAGGCCTCACAGGTGACTCGCCTCCTCCTCACTCGCTTAAAGTGCTACACAAACGACAACACCACCTCTCTCCTTCGATCCCCTTCACTCCGTCCGTAGTCCCTGCTTCGCCACAATCTTCATTACTTTGTCCAGGCCCCCCTAATCTCCATCCCATGATCCTATCATCCAGCAGCTACATCGCCCGCGCCTCAGCAACCACGGCAGAACCAGAGAGCTGATGGGAGACTTCTACCATTGCCGAGATGAGATTTGTTGAGAATGTTGCGAATGCCGCGCGCAGTATGTGTGGTTCATATAGTAGCGTATATCCATCTCCCAGCTATTCGCTCAAGCAAGAATATCGTGATACATACACACACACAAGCACACACACACAAACACACACAACATCAAACCCTCTAAAACTTCCGCATTCTCAGACTCTGCGCCGCCGCCACCAATTGAAACACCGCTCCGATCGCGAGACAGACAGCGGTGCCGCTCAGCCCGCTCCTGGCCAGTCCACCCGGCGGCAGCGCTAGGTCGTGAGTAGCCGGTGACGATGCCTCGCCGGCGGCCAGTTCCGGGCTCTGGCCAGGCTCCAGGACCGAAAACACGAACATGGATATGAAGGTGGCGAGGAATTGCGGGATGGTGGCGAAGATGTTGTGGATGCCGAGGTAGATACCTGCCATGCCGTCGTCTGCGCCGAGGTCCGATTGCTGGCTCTTGACGGTAGGTGACGGCAATTCCTCTGGTGTTGAGAGAGGGTCATCGGACATGAGGGACATCTCGACCGCGCTGTCTTCTGTGCTCCGGGAATGGGTTGCAGGTGTGGAGGTAGAGGGTGAAAGCTTGTTGATTTCTTCGCCCATGATTGCGAGAGGTGCCCAGCCGTACATGGCCCAGGATCTAAAGATTCGATCAGCTAGCGGTCCGATGGCGGTTAGAGACAGGGAACTTACGCTCCGCAAAGGGCAATGAGGGTAGTTGCGAATTGAAAGGAAGTCGAGAATGGGGTTAGGATCATCGAAGCCGCAAACGCTAATTGTGACATACCCCAGGCTGCCGTAATGTTAATATGGTACCGCTGGAAGAGGCTCGAGGTTCGTTTAAGCGGTCGTGGGGTATTTCTAACAGGATGCTGGGCGATGCCGTCGGAGGGCAACGATACTAGGAAAGGCAAAAAGATTGAGCTGATGAAGGAAATCACAGAGAACAAGACCAAGGCCAAAGAACCCTTCCTAGCAATTTCGCCCACCATGTCATTTTTGGTCTGCAATTCCGCAGCGTTGTCGGCGTTCTGGCGGTAGTATGTCTCTCCGACCCACGTAGTACCATAGACTGTTCAAATTAGGGTTCTGGCGGGGTCAATGATGACTCGCTGTCATGGAGTGTACTCACCAAAGAATGGAGACCACCCTCCCAGAGCCAAATTTGTCAGTTGGTGCGCTTGGCAGAAGGAAGAGTAGACAGTCTACATACCGAACCAAGACCAGAAAGTAATCCAACACACCGCCCTGATCTTGCTCGGTAGATGGAGCATCGTTCTGAGTATCGTCGACAGCATCGCCAGTCCTCCTGACTTTGCGCGGTGAGTTCTGATATCAGTCAGCAGCGCCGACCAGCCGAGATAGTTGCAACCTGGCTCGCCTTTTAGAAAGCAGCACACGTTCTTCAACGCAGAAGCAAGTCACGCTGACGCAGGAAATAATTGTAGCTCCCGCAATGACGCAAATCTGTTTAAACTGAGTCGCTCCCAGAGTCGTTCCGATATGCTTTGACAAGTTGATAGTGCCGACAAGATAGCCAAGTAATTGACCGAGTCCGAGCATCCTACCCGCTTTGCGGAAATTTAGGGAAAGTTCGATGATGGATGGGTACGGGACTGACCCCATGCTGAGCCAAGTTGCTGCTGAGATTCTGGAAGTGTGTCCACGATGAGGCTGCGGCAGGTCGCTTGCACTATGTCGTCATTCCATCAGCACCAGAGCATCTAGGCTACATTCTGGAAAAGTAGAGACATACCCCCATTGATCGCAAAGTCCACGGCATAGATACAGAACACGGCCAAAGCCACCGTCGCGCTTTTCACCTAAGCTCTGTCAGCAACACAAGTACCGGAACGCTATGATCAAGCTCCGAATTCTACCATAACCTCATCAGCAGTAAACACCCCAACAATCTCCGACGCCCAGGCAAGCACGACGAGGAACAAAGCCACCAAGAGGGAGAAAAGCAGCATGAACGGCCTCCTCCTACCCCACCTCGATTGCGAAGCATCCGACAAGACGCCAATAACCGGCTGCACAATCAGCCCAGACAGCGGAGGAGCGATCCACACGAGCGAAGTCTGGCTCTTCGCCAGACCCAATCTCAGGAGATGCGGCTCGAAGTCTGCAGAGAGGGGCGTTAGTCGAGATGCGTTGCAGAGTTCGAATCGGAGAAGGGGTGAACACATGTCATTTCTACGGCCCATGTAAACCTGCATTGCGCTATTAGTATCTGCACCGGAAGATTAAAGTAGGCGTGAGACTTGCTGAAGTCCAATCAACGAGAAAGTCAGCATCGCCATGCGCTGAAGCTTGGTGTAGCCTTTGATCCTGGCGTGCCCGCCCCACGAGGCTTGCGGAGCCATCGTTGTTGTCAGGAGGAGGGAGGGGTCTTCAATCTGCTTTCACGAGCACGAAATTTAGACCCAGGATATCTGGTAAGCATATCAGCAGAGGATGAGGTCGCCGCGCAGCACGGCCGGAGATGCTACCAAATGTTGATTGGTTCTTTAGCGCCGGTAGCGCGATGCGCCAATGGCTACGATTATCTCCGGTGGATGGTTTAAAGCCGGAATAAAGCTCGTGTAATTTCGAACTATAATTTGTTGATGGAACGAGGGTGGTTTGCAGAAGTCCTTGGACATGCCGAGATTATTCCGGTTCCCCCACCAAAGATTCCTACTATTTGATAGAGAAGTCTACTTCTTTTCTATATACCACTAGAGTTCAGTGCTTAATCCATCACGTTCCTTACACTGTTCTACACGCTTCTGCATGTGACAGTCTTTATGTGGAGTGGTGTGGATGTGGAAGGAAAGAATGGGTAGAAAAAGGAGGTAAGCTACCGGAATAATCTCGGCATGTCCAAGGACTTCTGCAAACCACCCTCGGAAGACAGACCAAGCCACAGAACAAGTTTGATCACTTGCTAATGCTATCGCAGATGGAGGTGAAAAACAATGATCATGCCATGAAGATATAAAGTACACTGTACACGAGACCTGAGATGATTTGTACAGTCCCATTGACAATATATGTTCTTCAGTATCTGCCATTATTCCTTGTCCCTTTCTACAAACCGATTTGTACTCCCATCAAGCCAATATACATTTTTCATCCTCCTCACAAACCCGAATCAATCTGCGACAGCAGATTCCCACCCGAATAATCAGCCCAATCCCTACAATTCTGATACGTCGTCGACGGAATGAGCACATTTTTGATATCAGCCGGTCGCTCCATGATATTAGCATAAAGACCGCCCGAGACGTGCCAGGCGATATGACAGTGGAAGGGCCAGACGCCGGGGTTGTCTTGTTGCCATTGGAAGACCTGCACGAAAAAGAGAGGGTTGGGTCAGTGAGTGCGTTTTGGCCTGGGTGGGTGCACAGGGTAGGGATTGGGTGAGAAGGGATAGAGGGAAAGGAAAGAGAGGGACGTACAGCATAGCCATTCGCGGGTACGATCTGTACGTCGCGGCGCTGGGGGTTGCTAGGGTTAGTGATGGCACCGCCCCATGCGCCCAGTCCGACGGATAGGACTTGCCTGCCAGCACAGTGGAGAGTCAGCAACTATCTCTCCTTGCAAACCACAACCGACACAAGCACATCATCATCCCCGTAGCGAGAGAAAAACCCAGACTCACATCTCGTGCCCGTGCAAATGCCACGGATGACTCGTGGGACTCGTATTATTGACAATAAACCTCACAGTCTTGTTTGTCCCCATGTTATAAACGTTCCAATCCGCATCGACCGCCGGGTAACTAGTATTGCCACTCTTTGCCAGTAGCAGTATGGGATTGTTCCAATCCGCTTCAAACGCACTATCGTTGATAGTCCAGACAATGTGGCCTGTGGAATTGACCGCGACGGCGACGTTCAGGGTGACCGTGGTGTTGGTACCAGCGGCTGCGATGGGATACATTGGTTCGGTATAAGAGAGAGGGTCATTCAGACAGGCGGGCGTGGTGTCTGTTTGCGCGACCGAAGCGTTGCCAGGGGCGGATTTTGTGTTTGCGTCTTCGTAGTAGATGACTGCGAGAGCTAGGGGCTGATTGGCGGGTTCGGTGCAGGCGCCGGACGTGATGTGTGAGCGCATCCAGACGACATCGGTAGGATCGCCGGTTGCTTCGACGACGATGTCGGTGCGTTGGCCGACCTGTAGATTGTAAGCATTCAGTGTGTGTGTTTCTGTGTTTGCCTGTGTGTTTGTCTGTGTTTTTGTCTGTGTGTTTGGAGACGAGGGTGGACATGCTAGGGAAGGATGCTTACGCCTAGTGTTACAATTGTAGTCTCATACGGTACGATAGGAATGAAGTCATTAGCGATGACGGTCATGTTATGGTTATCTATACTGAATTTCTGGATAGCAGCGATACCAGTGTTGATCAACCTCAGCCTATGCTTCTTGCCACTAGTGAAGCTGAACTTGGACAAGCCAGCATTATTGACGCAGGTGCCCATGGTACTGTTGCCAGTGCTGTTACCACATGCGAAGTCCATCTTGCCGTTGATCAAGTTGTTGTCAGATGCTGGTCGAACGAGGCTTTCGTCTGAGAGGTCGGTTCCCATGACGCCTTCCAAAACGGTGAAGTAGCCTTTGTGGTAGTAGTCGTTGAGTGTCACTGGGCCCAGGTCGATGTCGTAGGGGTAGTTTTTGGGTCCGTGTATCACCTGAATGTATGTTAACATTGACCATACTTGTCGCAAAGATAGGTACACAATGTGAACTTGGAGCTTACAATTGGGCCCCAAAGGCCATCAGCGTATTGAGAGGAATAATGCGAGTGGTAGAAAGTACTGCCATATGGAGTGGCTTTGAAAGTGTGTGTGAAACTCCCACCAGGCGGTACTGGGCACATCGAAACACCTGGAACGCCGTCTGCCCATTCGGTGTTCAGCTGGTTGAGACCATGCCAATGCATGGCGGTACCTTCGGCCGGCCCGGAGATGGCATTGTTCACGGTGACTTGAATGGTATCTCCCCAATTGGCTTCGATCAAAGGCTTAAGATTGAGCCGTGAGTGGTTGAGCTCGTTGAATGGATGGAATGCTTACCCCTGGGTATTGGCCATTGATCAGGAGCATGTTTTTCTGGTATCCATCGGGACTTACAGTTCCCCTAGCTATTGTGAAATCATATGAGCGAGTAACACCCGTATCGGCGGCGCCGGTGTAGGGATCTGCGGTCGAAGCGCCTTTCGCACCCCATGGAAAGCCGTTGATTATAGGACTATCAACATATTAGAACCAGACCGTTTTTAACAGCGCGAGAGTGAGAACACAATGCAAGACCTGCGACGCTACAGAAGACAGCATAGTAGTATCACAATGAGGTTCTAGAATTCTGGGGAACGGTGCAGCATAGCGACTCACTTGTTTTCGAGAAACGCTGGTAGCTTTGGTGCTTCGAAGGTTCCGAGGTTGGAAGCACCTTTAGGATAAGATTGTAAGCACAGCGTCTCTCTAGAAGCTAGAAGTACGCAGATAACCTGAAAAGGCAAGCACAGATATTTACCATTGGTGCGTAGCTGCGACAGGCTGGAAAGTAAGGAGGTGGCTTGCAGTAAGACGGTAGCAACAGTCATGGTTACGAAAGGTGTCGATAAAATGCGAGATGCGTGAAGAGCGAAAGGGAAAACCCAGGAAACCAGGTCAGATACATAAACAATGCCAAGTCTCAACTCACCGCGGCGAAGACGCGAGATATGGCGCGCATCATAGATCTACCATGACGATATGATTGCCAATAAGACACAAGAGCTTCTGTCTAGACCGAGCCGAGCATCTCCATACCTTCTTTACGCTTATATGAAATTGCTTGATCAGGAAAAAAAATTCTGCATCTGCGTGATATACGGGTAGACTAGAGGAAGTGCCATGAATTCAGGAACCAAAGCAGAGCAGAAAGAGACAAACCCGATCTGGCCCGATCTCATCCTGACAAGTAGCCGCTGTCAAGCAAGAAGAGCGAATCATAAAAGGTCCAAGTTGATGTCAAACGCCCTATGAAAGCAGCGGGCGTTGGTTGTGATTGACCGAAGCCGAAGCGTGCATGAGCGATAGCGGCATGATCTGCGGGCCTCTGACTTATCGAGCCTAGCGCACTATCGAAAACCCCAGTAACATCAATAAATACTTGCTTTGCGCACAGGTCAATACAAGTCGGGGCTTTGATGACCTCAATGACAGGCGTGTGCCTTTAGCAAGGGGATCGATGGGGTCTGCTGCCGTTGCTCCTTATCTTCCATGACGCTTAGCCGGGCTCTGCCTGCTGCGGAAGTTTTCAGATGTATGAGACCCAAAAAGGCTCCATTCGTACATGATCATGGATCATGAATCACTGAAGATATTCATGTCAGCCCTAAACAATATCTCCAAGTCTTACGAGGAACGGATGGAATTCCTGAGCGCCATACCATACAGAGACATACCCTTAGACACGGTCTTGTCGTCTTGTCTCTCCAGATTTCGAACCACATGTCCGCTGATGACAGGCACCTTTCCCGCACTGTACATAAATTCTTGCCCTATCGGTTGGATGGTCTCCCTTGGGTGAAGCGATGAACTTAGTGCGTGCTGAGAAGGGAGCGGTTGCGGGCACATTATCCAGCCGACGTGCTAGCGATCTGTGGAAGCTTACCCCGCATAAGGCTAACCATCACCGGCAGGAGATGTAGTCTAGAGATAGTTTGCCACTGCGCTACGTACTAGCAATTAGCCAAAGATGCTCTGTGCAAGTGGAACATATTGTGGCCCAAAGAAAACATTCAAGGCTGTCACTGCTGCGACAGATGCGAATCATGTAACCTAGAGCTGTATTGTCCGAGTCACCCACCATTCCCATGTTACTGCTCGTCGCATGAAGAATTGCACGTCGTTGCGATTGCGGGTTCCTCAAACATCAAGACTCTTTAGTTCTACAAGCAATATCCCCAGAGATCATACAGGAGTGAAAGGCACTTACATTCATCCTCCGGAAGTAGATTCACAGCAATATTCCACAGATGCTAGGTATGTTCAATGCCTTTTGGAAAAGGCGAAGTACTGAAGAGGCATTCTTTCGTTTAGGAATATATCTTCAGACTCTCTCTCAGCAGTAAGCTCCCTGGCAGCCTTTCATAGACTGCTATCCAATCATTAGAGGCGGGATCCGGTCTGTTGGCTTTCAGAAGACTCAATGGTATCGCTGGCCATGTCATGAGGGAAAGAATCCAAGCCCACAGTTGGCCCACTCCTTTGGGTGTCAACTGGACTAGAGAATTGAGAAGGGGCTTATCGAAGCTTCCATGCTTGTCCACATTGATCATGAGCATCTCAAGCTCGGAGAATTAGGGTATAAGCCAGCTGAAGTCCAGCCTAGGAGACAGATGGAGCCCTCTCCCAACCAAAACCAATTCCAAGGGGAGCCAAGCCAAGCCTAGCCCGCCAGTAACTAATCAAAGGTTGGCATGGAAGCAGTCCTCTATGATTGCAAACCAGTTACCATCATTTTCATGATTGTAAGCGCGTCTGGGTTTTCCAGGGATGCTAGATCTATCATGGTGGCGGGAGGCAGAGTTTTATTTCATCGCTGAATTGAAAATATGCCAAACCAAACGTGGCCTAGTGGGAAACGGCATTCTTATCCCCTGAGCCGCCATCAGCATCAACAAATTTCTTTTCGAAGACTCGTCAGTGCCATAAGAATGAGAGACTGTCTAGGCACACATTATACCGCCGCAAACTCCAAGGTCTGCCAAGGACAGCAGCTGTTCTTTGCAATGTATAGTGCAAAATGTGGTTGGATCAAAAACGCATCTGTTCAACCCATTATAGGGTTAGACTTCTTTGTCACGAGCGATTGATGCAAAGCAGAGCATAGAGTGGAATTGAATTCTATACTTTGTGGTGTGACCTCGTCATGTCAGCGAGTGAGATTTTGTAAGTGAAAAGCGGGCCTTGTACACCTAATCCCAAGTCGTTCAATGGCAAGTCCGTGGATGCATCCATCATTCAATTCATCCACAACGACTTCTCGTCGAACTCATACTCTCGAGCTTTCTTGTTTCTCGCATACTCCTTGACGTCATCCTCGAAATCATTCAAGAAGAGCCACCTGCTCTTCTTCGCCCACTCCTTGGCATACCAGTCATTGGCAGTAGCCGGGAAGCAATCAATCACGCTCAGGAGCGTAGCGTCGTGAGCAAGCACCACAAAAACGGTATCGCGGGCATCAAACTCCATCATCCTCCGTATGCTTTCGATCGCCTTGTCTTGGTCCTCGGCGCAATTCGAAGTGTAGAAAGGCTCTGTAGCTGATTGAGCGCAGTGGATTGTTGCCAGAAGTTCACCAGGGCAAGGCGGCATGACTGCCGACGAAAATGATGGGGCAAAAAGCGGGAAGTCTGGCAGAAGTGAAGGTAGAGGACGGTAGACGCTAGGACGGAACTCGCCGCCGTGATGTGCAATGTTGCCTCCCATGAAGATGAACGTATCCCTTCCAGCCATATGCTGAGGCTGCATTGCGAAAGAAGAGGTGGTACGGGCCAGCCCGCACATATGGCCAGACTCGTGTCCGGGAGATGCAAGAAGATAGAAAGAGCCGTCCCCAAAGTAATCCAGTGCAGGAAAGCGGCCTAGTTTGAAGCCTCCCCTGAAGGAGATTTCTCGGACTTCACGACCAGCGTAAGCAGACTCGAGGACGGGAGAGGTCTCGTCGTCAGGATAGGAAGGGGTGAATAGCCTTTTGAAGCCTGGTCCAACGACCAACGAGGTCTTGGGTGGGAATGTCGAGGGATCGCCAGTGTGGGCAATGTGGTGATGACTAGCAACTCTATCAGCGTAGCTTGCTTGGAAACTCCGATTGTAGACGTACCTCCAAATGATAGCGTCGATACTACTTAAGCTTGTTCCGTTGTCTTGCAAGATTTCGGATACATTCTTCTCGACCTCAACCTTCCAACCCCCAAGCTTCATCGGGTCAGCAAGGGTAGGTGGACTACTGACCTCCCAGTCTTTCCGTACACCTAGGTCGAAGAGTAGCTTTTGCCCGTTGTGCTCGATCAGGAATGCAAAGGCCGCAATGTCCATGACCTCGTGTCCTGAATAGGTTGGACGAAGGAAAAGAGAAGATCGTATTTGAGATATATGACAGGTTGTATTGATGATAGAGACAGTGACAGTATGGGGCGAATGCGGGAGGTGAAGCTGCGGTGGAGGTATCGCTGGCTGCACGATGGACATCGTACGTACAGAGGCTCAGGGTCACATAGCCTGTAGGTGACCGCTAAGAGACGTCCAAGACGTTATCAAAGTCCGGCTTTAGTCCTGCTTTAGACAATTGCCCTCACCGCTATGGGTAGCCGTGGACTCTGCATCAAACATTTGCACTGCTAGTTCGGGAGTCACGAAGTCTGATTCTCATGATGTCTGATGAGACAGTGTGGTAGCCTACCTCACCTCGACATATTGTGGTAGAAAATATCAAGTATGCGTGCATCCTCACACTGGTGATGGTTCAATGCCAAGCCGTGAATTGTACTCATGGTTGGAGATGCAACGGGGAATCAAAGGGTTCAGCAAGATCCATGGATGGCTTGATGTTCAGGCATTTTTCTAACCGTATATCTCGCGTTCGTGGATGCAGCCCTGCAGCAATATTGCGGCGCAAACGCGAGACGTTCTTGGATCTGCAGCGATGTTTGACATGGTATTCCACACGTTGGAAATCCCAAATAAGTTGCTAAGGTTATGACTCCACAATATTCACAGCTTGTCCTGGGGTGAGTTTCTCGTTGGCTTTTGTGTTCTGACCGTCTGTTGTTACCACTTTAGGCAAGATTAGAACATTGTATAGCCGACCTTATTATTCGGCCACCAAATCATTTGAAGCTTGTTCCTGCCTCTAAACGGGTCTCTATCATAGCCTCTAACCATGAAATAGAATAGAGAAGTAGAAGTATTGCCGACAGTGTGAAAGCAGAGACGACAATGCGCAGGGGAAGCTGTTGGATTCAGGTCAGTATCAAGATCACTATTCTCCCCTGTCTGGTGACTGTGGTCTGCACTCTCCAGAGATCGACGTTGTAAGACCACCAAAGCTCGCAAGCTGTTCCGTTCTGGGGAAGTTACTTTGAGGCCCAGCAGTGCCTGCTCGTTTGGAACCTTAAACATCGAGAATCGGTGCGGCTATTAGCTCAGGTACTAATATTGTTGAGTGTCCAAGTCTCGCAAGGTGGTCCATTTTGAGGAGATCATCGTGAGGCCCAGCAATAGCTAATCGTTTGAAAGTTTGAAACGTCAAACATCAAGCATCGGTGCGGCTAGCCTTCCAAATCGATCGAGGTTGGAATGTTGTGAAGATCATTCATACACAAAAAGCATTGCTGTCGGAGCGAGTTGCCTATTAATCTTGAGTACCTCGGCACGATCGCCTTAAGGGGGTCCTTAGCAACGTGTATCCTAGTGGGAGCCCCATGTCGCCAAGACTAGAAGACATGGATTTCAAGCGACTGCTTTATCAGAAGGTCATTCCCTCTTTTTCTGCACCGCCTTTTCGTACTTCAAAACATTCACTGCCACATTGATTAATTAATCGCAAACATCCCAGGCTTGATGGTAGCAAACATGAATTTTCCTTGATTTACCAAACACTGACAGTATCTGATTTGTAAACCACGCCACGCACCCAGCTCATTTCCCTGAGCGAGGTAGGAGCTTTGTCTGTAGTATAATTATCCGAAGCGAGCCAAGGATCCTCAGACGTTGAGGAAAAGGGCTCGGAACAGAAGCATCGGTGAGCAATGGTCGACTGTTCCTTTTTTCTAGAGCAATTAAATTGATGACCGCTAAAGCGCCCTTTCGGACTCCAGTCTACTTTCCGAAAGACCGATGCGTTCGCGAATTGTTCCGACTCCAATGTTTACTCCGCCTCACAACGTCACTGCAACGTTGAATGATGCCTGTTGGTAACCTAGCGACTTACAAAGAACGATGCGCTGAATTTCTCATGATATTATGCAATGACGAAGGCATAGCAGCCGCAAACATCCTTGCACCGGAATGCATCCTGAACCAGGGCGCCGGTTTCCCGCCACAGGTTGCGAAGCCTTCATCACGGTCCGCAAAATGGATCTCGACTTCATGTCAGACTAACACAAGGACATCAAATACATGATGGGAAAATTGAAACCAGAGGAAAAGGTGAGTACACGTCACCAGTGTTTCTGCCGAGCTGGGCCTGAATTTGATTCGCGAGACATATTCATGGGAGACTCTGCTCATTGTCAATTAGAGCATAGGTCTTGAAAAAGCTTTTTACTGTGGCAGTACCTGCAGAGTCCGGCGTCTGCACAACTGCTAAACTACAGGTGCATTCGCGAACTATGGAACCCCATGCTGTTGGACATTCTGTGGGTAACTAATAAGTAGAATTGGTGAGATGCACCGCGGATGGGCTGTTCCTAGATGACAAAGACGCCCACATGCTTATTCATGATGCACGAATCCAGTTTTCCGGTTCGCTGGTTAGATTAGGCAGGTGTAAATAGGATGCGAGAATAAGCGTCTTGAGCGGTCCACAGCCATATAGTATGTCGAGCAGTTATCGTTTGGAATCCTCTGTACATACTTCCTCGAACAGCCTTCGGGCGTTTCGCTACCTGCGGCATACCATACGCATGAAACTTCTTCTAGGAGGTCGGGGCGCCCGTGAGCCCAAGCCTAGGTAGATCGTCCCGATCCGTGTGGCTGAGGATGACTGCTGGTTTGGCTCCGTGAGCTTTGAGACGAAGAAGGGTTCGCAAGTCATAGTGTCGAGTAATCGATGGCAGGGGATACATGAAAGTCTGCTCGTTGATATCATGATGTTGGGACTCAGGCCGCATTTATCATAACTCCATGAGTAGGCACCACTGATCAAGTAGCATCAACTCGCACACCAAGATTGATACGAACGCCAGACTATGTATAAGCGGCTGATGTTGTTCATACTAAAAGCATTGTAGAGAGACAGGCACTATCGAAGCAGGGAAGGCAAGCTCGTCAGGGCAGTGCAGTGGCAATCTCACTGAGACTTGTGTCACGCTAGTGGTGCTAGTGTAGATCAGCCCTACAATGCTTGGCTTTGGGAAACAGCATCTCCGGGGTAAGGGGGCCTTCGTCTCTCTCTTGAACACTTGCGTCGAGGCTCGATACACCACAGTACTCTACGAATCGTTCCTACAATGCGTGTCCGCTTGCTGTCATCTGCTTGAGGGTGCTGGCAGCTAAGACGTGCACTAAGATGCCACGACACAGAGAGAACGCACTACGGGATGCAGAGCCAGCATGGGCATCAAACTACTATCTGCGCCATTTGTGACCGGCTGCCGAAGCTTGGAGGTTGAAGTTCCAGGTAGCTTCACCCTGAGTATGTGTTAGGATGGCTACAGAATCGCAAGGTTGTTACGCTGGATGCTTTGTGAACGTGAGTATGCTTCTTTTCATTGAAGGCCCGAGCTGATTCTGTCGCACGCACCAGCCTTTCTCAGATCGTACGGCCTGCTACAATTCAATATCCGACACGGATATCGCACCTCATCCATTGGAGCAAGTCATCTGAACAAGTCACGGTCACACCTTTCTACACTATGATATCTGGCACGAATCCCCTTGTGCAGCGGTCCTTGCGATTGCGCGCAGGTATTGCTCCCGTCCGCAGCTTCTCACAACAGACAACACGCCTGGAAAAGAGCGCAGGAGTAGGGATGAAATGCCGCAAGACACTACACGGACTGTTGGGGGTGCACACATATCAGCAGCTACCGTTGCTGCTTCGGAACCTGTGAGAGGCTTGGTCTGGGTGTCGTCGCTCACACTGCTGTCACTTGCAGCTGGCGAGGCACCGCCACACGCGGAAGTGACTCCCTGGAAGGGTTCATCTCCACACTCCGCGTGTTTTCTGCTTCTTTCAACTTCCGTAGTTGATGGCTTTCAATAAAGTTCATCTTCGATCTCCGCCGCAGGGTTTTTCCCTATGGCCTAAGTAGGGCGTCCATTCTAGCAGGACGCCGTTCTGCCACAATCTTCGACCGGTCTGGCAGATGCTAAAGCACGTGTCTGTCTCGAGAGCACCGGAACGGAAAGGACGAGGGAAGCTTCTTAAAAATGAGCAAAGTCCACGTTGATCAATGGAACTGCGTCACAACCCTATTACCACGTGTCGTTGATGATGCCGTCGCTTGCCCTTTGATGCTTCAACTTGACTTGCCACGCCATTCGAGAATATGGTGCCTTTTGTTGAAACACTGCTCTTTTGGCTAGAAGGACATGCAGCTGACAAGCATTGCTAGTATGTAGCTTGACCCTCCCACGTTGCCTATCTAGGAATTCAAACGTGTGGTCCAAGCATGCCGGTAGGCATCTGTAGTCTCGGTGTGCCTTGGAGACCTCTTGTTGCTTCTACTTTCCCTTTCTGCTACTATACAGAGTACCAAGTATGTCACTTGAATTTCTTCTATTGTTGCACATGAAATTTCAATGGAGGATCCGGTGTGGCGGTCTAGTACCATTCTTTCAACTAGGCCTACTCCTAACCGCTCCGTGTCTTCTTCGGAAATGTTTTGGCTCTGGAGGATGCCGCACATCTCTGCTGTGGACTTCAGGAGGAAATAGATGCTGCGCGAGCTCAAATTGAGGCTCAAGGCTAGAGAGCTAGACTCGACGTCTTCTTCGTGTATTTCAGCGAATGGAGGCATCTGAAGACTCTGCTGGGGACCATGTCATCCTGGTTCCTGCTGGATGTGGCGTTCTACGGGGTCAACCTGAATCAATCTGTGATTCTTACGGAGTTTGGGGTCTCCCAGGGAGCCAACGAGTACGACGTGTTGAAGAGGATCGCTATCGGCAACTCGATGATCGCCATAGCCGGCTACGTGCCAGGGTATCTCTTCACAATCTTCTTCGTTGAAGTTGAGAAATTGGGACGAAGATGGATAAAAATCCAAGGATTCTTGATCGTTGTGTTCTTGTTCGCTGTTAATGCCGGCGACTACAAACACCTGGGCATAGGCGGGAAGATTTTCTGTCTCGGTATCGGTCAGATACTCAAGCCTCCGCTCCCCAAGCTACCAGCGCCTAACATCTCACACAGTGTTTTTCATCTTCGGTCCCAGCGCCGCCACCTTCATCATACCTGCCGAAGTCTTCCCAGTGCGCGTACGCGCCTTCGGTCATGGCATCAGCGCCGCGACCGGCAAATTAGGCGCCATACTCTCCGCCCTACTTTTCAACTACCTCAGCGGGCCTACAGGGATCGGCTTGTCCAGCGTTTTGTGGATCCATTCGTTTGCAAAATTCTCAGCGCCATCACTACTCATTTTAAAATTCCGGCGACGAAGTGGAAGGATAGAGATGTGACGGACTATGAAGAGTGGTTTGAGGCGAATACTGAGATAATAGAAGCTACGAACGTAAACGTCCCAAATCAATGATACAATATTGGAGGCCGCGGTGAGATCAGACGTGCATCACGCCGTGACAGCTTATGGAAATTTCCATGAGCTCTGCTGCAGCAGAAACAGCGGACGAAGTGTGTAGTAGGTCGCTTCAGTGGATGAAATCGTTGGGGAAAAGAGGAAAAGAGAACATTTGACCTGAGGAAGTTGGCACATCCAACATCTCTCATGCCTGCTATACATAGTCATTAACATATGCTTTCTGGACACAGCCTTCAAAAGCGTTGTTCATTCCGCAGTCCGTGCTCTCTCACACACGGGAGCTGCACTTGAACTGCGCCGATCCTGCAACCATTCAATAACCCCCTTCCCGAAGCTTCCTTCACCCCTACCGATCACGAGGCCGATCTTTTCAAACCACCTTTCAAACCTGTTCAGCGGCCGCTTCCCTCACATATACTTCACTCCAACCAGCGCCTTCTCACAACACCGAACAACATAGGCCCGAGTGGCACCATGCGTCGAGCCGAAACCAAACGTCCCCTCGCCGTCCACGATGGTAGTGACCAAGTTTATGATCCCACGACTGCGAAAGGACTACCGCCCGTTCTTCAGACAAACAACCGCGACCTCCACCTCCCCCAGAACTCCTCATATTGCAGCTCCCTCGCCTCCCTCCCCACCCTCCACACCCGCAACCCCATCCACCCCAAAGCCTCCCCTCCATCGCACCCACTCCCCTCCTTCTCAACCCCAGCCACCAAACCCCTTACCCCCCCCATTGCCATCCCTATCCCAATCCCCACCTCAACCCGCCGCCCAAACGTCGCCCACAAATCAGCTTCGCGCGCAACAGGCAGCCCCTCAAGCCGCATCTGCAACCCCCGCCGCTTCGGCCGCGGGGAATGCTGCAGCATTGTATACGACCGACCGCGGCGTCGGGGGCAGCTCGCTCTGGACTCCCGTCACGTACAAATCCCTGGCCGGGGCCCATGAGGGTTCCAGAGCGTGGCGTGGCGGTCGCGATGCGGTGCGATGCGGGTTACGATATTCGCGAGTGGGAAAGTGGAGCGGAGGCGTAAAGTTTCCCGGCTGCGTACGGATATACGGTACGGTGTGGAGGACGGATGAATGTCTGGATGAGGGCGGTGTAAGTTTGCGGATGCTGCAGGGTTGGTTAGAGAGTTGGTGGAGGAGAGGCGTGGGCCGCGGCGGTTGGTGGCTGAGGGGTTTTTGCTTGGAGGAGAGGCCGGTGGAGTTTGAGGTGGTGGAGAAGGGAAGGGGGGAGGGAGATGGGCGAGAAGGAAGGAAGGAAGGAAGGAAGAAAGGGGGAAGGCAGGTTGTGATTTTCTAAGATAGCAAGAGGTGCATACTGTATGGGATTGCATGAGGAGTTGGTATTCAATGGCCATCTTTTTGTTTAGCTCTGGGATCCATCGGATCTTATGATAGGCGAGGATATGCCGAAATAGTGGGGACGGTGGGAATGTTCTCGAGAGTACTACCCTTATTTTATATATATATGGTGCAAAGCCTGAAGCTACTGGATAACATGAGCTAGCATGACTACGCTTTTTATACTAAGTTGAGTAGCGCTCTTCCCATCTTCCGCTTCCTCTTCCTCTTTGATTTATGGAATCCGTGATACCCACTACTTGCACCATCTCGCGTGGCTAGACCAATTTCATATAGCAAATCCACCCGAATTATGCTGCCTTGGCTCTCCCGCGGCTTCGAACGTGCCATTCGGCAACCTTCGCAAGCCTTGGGCAGTCGACAGACCAGGAGCCACCCATGTAACGTTGTGCCCAAGGCTTTTCATGAAAGCTGTGGTTTCGTTGTTATAAGCGTACTCGAATGATACGGTGTTTGGTATCAGCTACGAGAGTCTCGAATATCAGTAACGACTCTTGCGATGATCACGACTGTGTGCGAGAAGGAGCGAAATCAAGGTACGTGCCTGATCGTGGAGTCTCGGTTCCGCCAAGCTTTCCTTGACCGTCTCGTTCTGATCAAGGACATGCCAAAGGTTCTGTACTGTTGCAGTGATGATACGACTTCCGCCCGCAGAGCCGATGACAAAATAAAGCGTGCCGTTCTTGAGATATTCAACGATAGTCGGGGAGATGGAAGATAGCGGCCTTTTGCCCGGCTCTATGAAGTTGGCAGGTGAGGGCGCGTAGCCGAAAGCATTAGATTGATTAGGGATTGAGAAGTCGTTCATCTCATTGTTCATAATCACGCCGGTTTCGGGCACTACAAGCTGGCTGCCGAAAAGCAGGTTTACGGTTGTGGTCAGCGAGACGGCCATACCAGAGGCATCTGCTGTGACGATGTGGGAGGTTCCATGCCTGGACGTCATAGATCAGATGACCAGAAGCGAAGCACAGGAGGAACAATACCTACGTTGTGGTGGATTCCAACCCAGTAGGATCATACGCAGAGACGTTTAGGGTGTGAAAGTCCGAGATCTTACTCCTCACCGCCTCAGCAGTGGTCTCGTTGAGCATTTCCTGCTGATATTCGTCAACGCCTGGAACGAATAACGGATCTCCTAGGTACGCTCTCTATTCGAATTGGTGTCAATATTTGTGATCATACTGAGGTGTTAAGGAGAAAGCACAGCTACTCACCTCCCCATAGGCAAACCTGATTGCCTCATCGAGACGATGAGTACTAAGGTTCAGGGTCGCAGCCTCACCAATCTCACTATAGCCCTCAATGGTCTTCATGACCGACAGGGCGACTGTGCCTGATGATGGCGCAGAGCACGCCGTAAGCTTGTAATCTCGGTATGTAATTTGGGCGGGCTTCCGTATGGCCACAGTGTAATTTTTTAGATCCTCAAGCGTCATCATCCCATTAGCGGCTTTCAACGCCTGAATGGTAGCATTCGCAATAGGCCCGGTATAGAAAGCGTCAGCGCCTCTTTTCGAGATGGTCTCAAGAGTGTCTGCATAGCGCTGCCTTGTGATGGTCTCATTCAGACCGAGTAGTGTTCCATTTGGTGCAAAGTCAACAGCAAAATTTGGGTTCTCAGCCAAGAAATTAGGTCCACTTCCAATAGCTTCTTCCTCATAATCGACCAAATCTTGGGTGACTATGAAGCCATTGCGCGCGACATTGATGGCTGGTCCCATGACGTGCGCCCAGGGTAGTTTGCCATAGTGTTTGTGCAAGTATTCGAGGCCGCGAAGCTCGCCAGGTACACCGCTCGCAAGGCCTCCATAAAGAGACAAGTCTGTGTCGTTGTTGTACATGTTGGTGAATGCTGCAGCGGGAGCTTTCTCACGGAAATCGATGAACTCGTAGGAGCCATTGCTGCCGCGTACGATCATGAAGCCGCCACCTCCAAGTCCGCTGTGGTACATCCCGATTACCCCTATGCAGAACACCGTGCCCACCAACTGCGAAATTTAAGGCGGCCCGGTTAGCTAGTCCAAACTACCTTCTGGCGCATTTATTCTGGACATACAGCATCTGCAGCATTTCCACCATCCATGATAAGATCGATACCAACGTTGCTGCAGACCGTGCTCTCCGAAGCGACTGCTCCTAGCTTGTCTTTCAGTTCTTGTTGCTCACCGCCGCGTTTGTGCGCAGCCGCGGAAGGAGTCCAGCATAATGTTAATGGGCCAAAGGCCAACGCCAAGCCCAAATAGAAGTTCAATAGATACATGTTGTCACAATTACTAGATTCGCCGCTGAAAAGCATGGAAAAGAAAGCAGGAAAAGCCTGCACAGTTGTAGAAGTACCATCACGCCAAGAAGTATGAGGGGTAGGTATGCAGGGTCACTGCAGGTCCGGAATAGGAAGGTAGCTGAGATCTAGACGGACGTTCGAAAGCAACTCTTCGGCTTGCCTTTCACTGAAAGAGACGGAGATCTGAAAGACAAGTTCAAGATCAAACAGAGTGAATGCCAAGAGCTGTATACTTGAAGAAGTAGTCTCAGGGTAGGTTTTACCCTCAAGCCATTCTGCGAGCCATCCGGCTTAATGATTAGCGAAAGCTGTGAAGAGACGTCGACTCATGACTGCAGTGCATTGACTGCTAGTCATGATAGAGACTTTTGAGCTCTTGTTCCCATCTCAACTGACTCTCCAGGGAAAGACTGAGGATACCGCGAAGCAATCCGCAAGGCTCCCGGCAATCGATTATTCGTTGGTGTCAAAATCTTGGTCATGACCGGGAAGTACAGCTTGCCTTTCTCCGTTGTTGTCTAGACGATGCAAGACTGTCAGTGAATGTCGTCCAGACTTGGAACCCACCGCTGTGGTCTCCGAGGCGCAGAGCGACAAGAGACATGTTTGAGATTCCATCCGCATTTGCTTTAAGAATATCGACCTCGCTGCCAGTGAGAATCATTATGCTAAGCTGCAAACTCCGACAGCCGCCTTCAGGCTCTGAAAAGTTGGTTTGTTGTTGTCAATTATCTGGCCAAACGCCAAGCCAGTGCCAAGCCAGTGCCAAGCAAAAGCGGAACGCCTTTCCGCTACCAGCCTCCCCAGCCATCTCGACGAGAAAAAGTAGAGGCTGGATAACAAACCACCACATCAGCCATCATGGACAATCCTGCGATGCTGGTGAACTTGCGAGTGTCTCCTTATCTTCCAAGTACCCATATCTCTCGACACCGAGTTCAATACATCAACAAGCTATCTCTGCTCTTCCTGAAAGCTCGTTGAAATGGCATGGGTACGCCCGAAACATCCCAAGCGCAAAGAAGTCGTCGACCCTACCGATTCTCTCCGCCCTGTCCTCGAATATTTCAGCTGTAGCCGACCTAGTGTCTCCAACTCCAACAACAAAGAACTCTCGAGAATTCCCAGGAAACCGCTCTTACTACACGAATCGTACGAACCGAGGCCCCAGACACATCATTATGAAGAATCGGAACATCATCACAAGCCAGATCATCACCAGCAAGAAGCGGAGCATCACCCAAGGGTAGAGCATCACC